CTCCCCGCAGCAGTGTACTTCAGTCAATATGCCTGTTCTGTTCCCCACTCTGTCTCTGGTGAATTCTCTCACCCCCACCTCTGGCCTGTACCCCAGCTCTTTTATACATAAATAAATAAAACTTAAAAAAATAAAAAATAATTTGGAGGGAGCAGTCATTTGAAATTACTTAACTTCAGTAGGGAATAAATGGTACTACAGAGCCCTAGACCAGAGCTCCAAATTTTTCCCCTCTTAAAAATCCTAAGAATATGATTTGAGGGGCCTAGGAGAGGAGGGATCAGAGTCAAATAAGGGGGGGAATTTATGGGAATATAACCAAGATGAAAATGCTATGTTGTGCAAAAACGAAAAATGATGTAAAAAATGTATTAAAAGGTAAAAAAAAATGATTTGAATTGCACTGCATTTCTTTTGAGCATTCAATTCAAGTGTTCCAAAATATCTAATAGAATAATCTGTATTGGAAGGTAGAATTATTTGAAATGTCACACCTCATTTCCGTACATGGAGGAGTGTCCAATTCCTCTCCTCGGCTATGATGCTTAACAAACTTAATGCACGGATTATTCTCTCACCCCAAATTGAGAGGCTGCACCTATAAGTACCCCCCACAACATGTCTTGTGATTCCAGATGGTACCTACTCAGGATGCTCCATCAAAAGGTGCAGTGCTACTCCCAGAAATATATGAAAGAATGAGTAAAGAGGTTTGGGCTGATGAAACACTGGGACATGCCAAAAATGCAGACTCCGTAAGAATAGAAGTGGTGGAAGGGAGCAGAGCCCCAAGGAGAAAGCAAGACCTCTAAGAGGAAGCTTTCTGGAGAACTCAGCCAATATTACAAAAGTCACTCCAATCCAGCCTCATTTGTCACTGCTGCTCCCCCTATAACATTCTGATTTTACTGGTAAAGAAATCCCACACAAATGAGTATCATTTTGTATAGGATTTAATATTGTCCAGGACATATATCCAAACTTGCTATATCTTTACACTCTGCTAACTGCCATACATGGTTTCACATTGAGGTCATCAAACAATTGACACCTTGTAGAAGGGCTGAGATTTGCAGCAGTGAAGTCAAACTTGGGTCTCCCTGAGTCCATAATCCACGTTTTCTTGCCCTAAAGTAGGGGAGTCACTGAAGCACCCTCAAATACATACACATGTGCTTAAGCAAAGCCGACGGAGATAATGTTAAACCCATCCCCTCAGCTACCCTAGTTTTACCAATACTTCTAAAGTGCCAGTGGCGTGAGATGAGGAATAGAAATGCTGTCCTGTACTAACTTTAGCCAGGAAATCTGTATGTTAAAAAAGAGATTTATTGGAGAGTATGGTGCAAATCATCCATGATCCTTAAAGTCTACAGCAAAGCACTGAAGAAATATTAACCACCTACATCTGGTGCCACCTATTAACTTTGCTACCTCAGCCAAGTAATTTAAACCTCACCCTGCCACTCCTCCCACCTCCCCCCAACCAGTCTCAAGCCCCTGCCTCCCGTAAAATGAGTATAATTACAGCATTGTTTGGGTAGATTTCATGTGATAATGCTTGCAATGTGCTTAGAACAGTACTGGACACTTAATCGCTCAGTATAAACGACCTCAGGAGTGCGATGGCAAGCTTCTGAAAAACACAATGTAAGATGGCTTACTTGGAAATCTATCCGAAAATAAGGAGTGAAGCCTATGGGTAGCGTGTCGGAGTATACACAATGTGGGCGATGGCGGAAATACTCAAACGACAATGGTATAAAGTTGATTGTAAAATTCTTCCAACTTTCCGTGTGTCTGAAAAGTGTTCCCAAGCCAACACTGGACCATCAGGGCAAGTGCATGGGGGCACGCTTCAGGAGGGGGCCGGGCTAGGCACCGTTTCTGTTTCTGTTTTTCTGACTAGAAAAGGTAAAACGAAGCAACAGCAAAACGGGAGAGATCCTGCAAAACGGGAGAGAGCCTGCAAAACGGGAGAGAGCCTGCAGCACGCTACCCCGCCCTTGCCCGTGGACCGTTAGTAACACTACTCGAATGAAATCATCCAGGGCCGCTTGCGAAACAGCAAATCCTCGAGAGCAAGGCCGGGGGCTGCCAAGCGCTCGCGAGGGACAAGGACGCGCTCCAAGGCCCCGTCCCGCCCGGGCGCCGCGGAGGTGGGGTCGGAGCGCGCGCGGGCGGAAGCGCGGCCCGGCTAGCGGGGGGCTCCGGGCGCCGCGTGTAAATACCTTTGGGGGAGGAGGCGGGGGAGAGAAGCGTCGAATTTCAGGGGGGAAAAAAAAAATCCCCAAACCCCCACAGCCCCGGGCGGGCGGGCGCGCGCGATGGGCGCCCTTTGGCTGCGGGAGCGAGTGGAGGATGCTGGGAAGGAGGTAAAATGGCCACCGGCGGCGGCGCGGAAGAGGAGAGGAAGCGGGGGCGGCCGCAGCTGCTGCCCCCCGCGCCCCGCGGCCGGGGCGAGGAGGCCGAGGGCGGCCGCGAGAAGATGGGCTGGGCCCAGGTGGTGAAGAATCTGGCCGAGAAGAAGGGCGAGTTCCGCGAGTCGCGCGCGCCGCGGCGGGAGGAGGAAGGCAGCGGGGGCGCGGGCGGCGGGCTCGGGGCCCCGCGGGCCTCGCGGCTCCGGGCCTCGGCGACTTCCCGCCGGCCGGGCGCGGGGACCCGAAGGGCGGCCGGAGAGAACCGGCGGCCGAGGCGGCGGACCCCCGCAAGAAGAAGGGCGCAGTCGAGGCGGGCAAGAGGAAGAAGGCCGAGCCGGCGGCCATGGCGGCCCCGGCCAGGCCCGGGACGGCCGAGGACGTGGCCGAGCTGGCCCCGCAGGACGAGCAGGCGGCGGCGGGCCCCGCGGGCGGCCCGGGCAAGGGCCGCTTCCTCGTGCGCATCTGCTTCCAGGGAGACGAGGGCGCCTGCCCGACCCGGGACTTCGTGGTGGGCGCGCTCATCCTGCGCTCCATCGGCATGGACCCCGGCGACATCTACGCGGTCATCCAGATCCCGGGCAGCCGCGAGTTCGACGTGAGCTTCCGCTCCGCCGAGAAGCTGGCCCTGTTCCTGCGCGTCTACGAGGAGAAGCGCGAGCAGGAGGACTGCTGGGAGAACTTTGTGGTGCTGGGGCGGAGCAAGTCCAGCCTGAAGACGCTCTTCATCCTCTTCCGGAACGAGACGGTGGACGTGGAGGACATCGTGACCTGGCTCAAGCGCCACTGCGACGTGCTGGCCGTGCCGGTGAAAGTGACCGACAGGTTTGGGATCTGGACCGGGGAGTACAAGTGCGAGATCGAGCTGCGCCAGGGGGAGGGCGGGGTCAGGCACCTGCCGGGGGCCTTCTTCTTGGGGGCCGAGAGGGGCTACAGCTGGTACAAGGGGCAGCCCAAGACGTGCTTTAAATGTGGTTCGCGGACCCACATGAGCGGCAGCTGCACGCAGGACAGGTGCTTCAGGTGCGGGGAGGAGGGGCACCTGAGCCCTTACTGCCGGAAGGGCATCGTGTGCAACCTCTGTGGCAAGCGAGGACACGCCTTTGCCCAGTGTCCCAAAGCCGTCCACAATTCCGTGTCAACTCAGCTAACCGGCGTGGCCGGGCACTGAACACCCGCCTGCCTGCCAGGGTGAACACACAGCCAGCTTGCCCTCTTAAGTGCCAAAACTTTTTTTTAAACCATTTTTTATCGTTTTTGAAGGAGACCTTTTTAAAACCTACAAGACATCTCTCTCCGCCTTCTTAAACCAAGTTTACTCCGTTTCAGCCTTTTCTGAATTGATGACTCTGTCATCACAGAACTGTAGTGTGCACATATGTCCCCTCTTTTTTTTTTTAAATTTTGGTTTTGTTTTTGTATTTGGGGAATTTCTTTTTTTTTTTGGTTTGATTTTGTAACTTTTACTCCCCACTCCTTGTGTTCTCCCTAGATTTTCACCCTTTGGGCTGCCTTGCTCATATTTACGCCCCAGCGCTAGTTACGGGGCCCAGCACCTCGTAGGCACTCCAGTGTTTGTTGAATTGAGAACATTGTTGACTGTGCTTCTGTCAGGGTGTCTACCTATTGCAGCTCTTCCCTTCCCCTTTTAATTTGCTGCTTCTAATCTATGTGATCTGACATTTTGTGAAACCAGTGTTGTTAGAAAGTGTATGTAATCTGAGTCAATAAGCTCTGAATGGTGGCCAGGGGCCTCTCTTAAGGCTTAAAAATTCATGGACTATGTGACAGCTCTTTTAGTGACTCAGATGCCATTTTTCATAGAATCATGAAATCTGGAATTTTCCTGCTGGAAAGGAACCTACAAATTGGTTTAGGCCAATCCCCATCTTCCAACAGATGAAACAGACCCAGAACAATTAAATGACTGGGTCAAAATCACATAGCTGTCTGGTGCCAGAACTAGCCTAGAGTTCCCTAACCCCAAACCCGGTGCTCATTCCACTACCTCTCACACTTCACAACATTTTCCTCAACACTTGAGGGCCCAGAAAGCCTGCTCTCTTCAGGATAATGAGCCTAAAGGAATACTAAGATATCATCTGGTGGAGGAAACAGGTTTAAAGGGCTCCTGCATGCTAGAGAGATAGGGAAGGGACATAGGAATGTAATCCAGGGTGTGCGCATTGCTCCCTGGGCTGTCATATCTAGTTTAAAGGGTTCCAGCTCCTTTGGGGCCTTCCCCTTCCCCATGCATTGCCACCAGTGAGAAGTGGGGGTTTTCCTGAGTAAGAAAACCCACCACCAGTTTACAATTACACCTTAGCCTCAATAACTAGAAACCCCAGAGCAACAACTAACTGAAGCTCATCTGCAACCTCCTAACTCTCAGGAGGAAGGAGACTTTAATCCAGAATTAAAAGTGAGCTGTTAACTCTAAAATGTACTTGCAAAATAGGTCAAGCAAGAGGGCATTGTGTTAACTAAGTGTTATCAAGTTAAAGTTGAAAAAACAATACACTGCTTTTCTTTTAATTTTTGGTTTTACTTTGCTTTACATTTTGCTATTTCCTTGTGGCTTAGAATGTAAAATCGATTGTTAAAAGTTTTGTTCTGAATAAATATTTATCTTTTGTATTGCTAACACTGCTGCTCTATTTCCTTTCAAAGTGTTAGGTGCACAGCACAATGATGGTGGTTCAATCCATACTTCCTACACCACATTTGTTTACCCTGCAAATACATTTCCAGCCCCTGCTGGCAACACTTAGCACTTACTATGTTGTGCCAGGCCCTTTGGAGTTGTTACCTAAACCCTGTTTGTCACGATCGCTTAGCACGCTGTTAAAGCTTGGTTTTAAGTCCAAACTCAGCTCCAAGGAATCATAATTACTGGAGTGAGTGAAAATATTGTTAGTAATCATCCCCAAGCAATTCTGATGCACAGCCAGATTTGAGACCTCAGTTGTGCACATACTAAGTGAGGGATGTCTGCCCTCAGGAGATTACAAAGCAGTGGGAAAGAAGAAAGGTGTTTCATCATTATCTCACAGTTAGTGTAAGTGCCACAAATTGAATACAAGACACTCATGGACTTTTAAAGAAAATGCATTTCCTCCGGCTATAAGAGAGTTGGAGAGAAAGGAGGCTTCAGGAAACTTCCCAGAGGCCTGGCTTACTCCTCCGGGCTAGCCTGGAAGACCGAATTCTTTAGAATTGACTTGAGATGTTAAAGCTGCCAAGGTATTGTTCTCTAACTCAGTGATTTGAGGGGAGCCTTGCCTTCTAGAGCCAGCTCAGACCCTCTCCTTGTCTCCCAAAGCATACAGGCTCTTCCCTCCCTCCCTTCTCTCCCCCCTCATCTTTTTCCCTTTATCCGTTTTCCTCCCTCTTGGGTCTGGAGGCCTGAGGCCTGGAGAAAGCCTGCATTCATCATATTCCCCACCCCCTTCCTCCTAGCAGGCGCACAGCCAGGGAGCCTCCCTGGAAGGAATCTTCCCTCTCTCCACCCCTTCCTCCCAACTCTCCTAGATGGCGCAGAGGAAGAAACTGTTTCCCTGCCCATCCCCCACTGGATCCGCTCTAGGGCCTCCTGCCTATCAGCCCAGGGTCCAAGCCTTGGGCTAGAGCTGAACAACCTCCCCCAGCTTCCTCTCTTGATCTAGCAACCCTCAAATTACAATTCCTCTCAGTACCTGGGCTCCTGGAGTGCCCCAGACTGGCTCCCAACTAACTAACATACAATTTTGAGCAAACAGTGAGGGCTGTTAGAGGCAGGCCCTGTGCAAGGTGCTCTGCTTATACCATGAACAAGGCAGTGTATTTGCAGAGGGAGACACACATAAAGAACAAATAGACAATTTTTAAAATAGTATTAATTACTTTTAAATATTCTGAAAAAATAAACCTGAGTATAGAATTTTCTGGAGTTGGGGTTTCCCGGAAAAGGTGTCTCTCTTGAAACTTGCAAGATTATAAGAGCCTGATAGGGCCTCCCCTGACGGCGCAGGCGGTTGAGCACTGCGCTGTGAAGCTGTCTGCAGCCTCTGCAGTGCCTGTTCGATCCCTGCTGGCACCGGAGATACCCACATGGCACAGCAGACCTCTCCTGTCTTGCCCGCTGCTCCCTCGGCAGTAAATTTCAGTCTGCCTGTTCTGTTCCCCGCTCTGTCTCTGGTGAATCCTTTCATCCTCCCGCGCATCTGGCCTGTACCCCATTCTTGTATGCATGAATAAATAAATCTTTTTAAAAAAAAAAAAAGACTTATGAAGAGGGAAGAAAACCAAGCAGCAGTTGGGGCCTCCCCGGTGGCGCAGCGGTTGAGCACAGGGCTGCGAAGCTGCGAAGCTGCCTGCAGCCTCTGCAGCACCAGTTTGAGCCTCTGCAGCGCCAGTTTGAGCCTCTGCAGCACCAGTTCGAGCCTCTGCAGCACCAGTTCGAGCCTCTGCAGCGCCAGTTTGATCCCCTGCCGCCGGCCACCGGGCGAGGATCCCCACATGGCGCGCAGACCTCTCCTGCCGCCCACTGCTCCCCTCAGCAGTGTACCTTGGTCCTTCTGCCTGTTCTGCTCTCCGCTCTGGCTCTGGTGAGTTCTCCCACCCTCTCTCGCTTCTTCTGACTGTACCCAGTGCTTGTATAAATAAATAAATAAATCTTAAAAAAAAAAAAAAAGAAAACCAAGGAGCAGAAACAACCGATGCAAGGACCTGGAGGCCACAGAACACAGCCTGTTGAGGCTGGCTGAAAAATCACAGGAAGGTGTGGTTCGGAAAAGGCCAATAAGAGGTGACACAAGTCACTGTCAATTAAGAGTCTTGATTTTGTCCTAACACCCTCCAGCCTCCATTCCATTCATTCATTCAACACATGTTTGTTAACCTCCAACCCTTTCTAAGTGATGGAATATAGCAAAATAGTTTTCCTTCCTCAAATTGTAGAGTCACACAAATCCATAATTACAAACTATGATAATGCATTGAAAGAAAAAGAGTGATAATGAGTTTAACAAGGAAAATTGATCTGGTCTTAGAAATCAAGAATAACTTCCAGAGAAAATATTTTATCTAAGAAGGAAAAAACATATAAGGAGTTAATTGAAAGATGGGGTGGACATTAAATTAGGTGGTGGCAAGGGTATTAGCCTAGGCAAAAGGGGGAGCAATGCTATAGTGGGGGGAGGCCTGGCCAATTCTAGAAACTAAATGAAGTCCAGTATATCAGTTGAGATTTAGAAACAAACTACAGCACACCCACTACAGCCTTCCACTGGACAGACAGCTATGGAAGGCCCTGCTTGAAATCACTCTACATATAGAAGTCAAAAGCCCTGGGCTGGATATTAGGAATGACTCCTGTAAAACTAGAACTAATCTACCAGGAGTGCTACTACTACTCTCATAGCAAGAAGGAACCAGGGCCTCCCTGGTGGCACAAGGGGTTAAGCCTCAGCACTATGAAGCTAACAGCAGTCACTGCATCATGAGTTTGAGAGTTTGATCCCCAGCCAGGGAGATAACCCACGTGGCACAGCTGACCTCTCCTGCCTCACCCACTGCTCTCCCCAGCAGTGTATTTCAGTCAATCCACCTGTTCTGCGCCCTACTCTGTCTCTGATGAATCCTCTCACTCCCAACCCCCACCTTTGGCCTTTAAAAAAAAAAAAAAAATTTTCAAGCAAGGAAATGATAGAATTATAGTTGTATTTTTTTAATTATTTATTTATGCATACAAGAATTGGGGTCCATGTCAGAGGTGCAGGGGATGGGGTGGTAGAGGATTCACCAGAGACAGAGTGGGGCGCATTAACAGGCAGATTGACTGAAATACACTGCTGAGGGGTCTGTTGTGCCATGTGGGTTAGCACCCTGGGGAGGGATCAGACAGCTTTGTTGTGCTGAGACTTAACTCCTTGCACAACCAAGGGGAACCCTCTCAAATACATTTGAAAATGAACAAAGATAGGGTATGCGGAGGTTTTTTTTTTTTTTTAAAGATTTATTTATTTATTTATTTATTTATTTATACAGGCACTGGGTACAGTCAGAAGCACAGGAGGGTGAGAGAATTCACCAGAGCCAGAGCGGGGAGCAGAGCAGGCAGAAGGACAGAAGTACACTGCTGAGGGGAGCAGCGGGTGGCAGGAGAGGTCTGTGTGCCATGCGGGACCCTCC